TTAAAATAAGGAATTAAAAAAAGGAAGAAGTAGCAAGAAGTATCAAGTAAAGGTATCGGAGAGGAGATCAGTGTAAATGAAAACATGAGACTTATGGTTTTGCTATATATGATTTTATTTTGGATTTGTCTGTTGTAAAGAATGTACATTATGTGAATAAAAAAAAGAAAGGGGGAAAAAGAAAATCTCAAAATCTTATAGATTATCACTATGTTATTTATCTGTCTTGGTGGGACAGCTGCAAGTATTCTTGGGTGACACAAACTATTCATTTTTTTTAACAAGAATATATACTGCTTAGTCAAGAAAAGCCTCTGGTTCATATAAAGTATAGACATAAAGTATTCATAAGAAAACACTAATAAAATCAAGCTTTTAAAAACAACTTTCCAATCTGGATTCACACCTGGCTTTGGTCCTGATGGATGGCTTCCATTAAGAATATGACGGAAGGGAGAGCGACCTCGCTCCTTGATTTTGGGGTTCACTATGGCTTTTCGTACCATTTCATACTACTGCAAAATGCTTAGAGGTTTTGGTTGAGGAAGTGTAATAAAAATATTGTTAAATCAAATAAATACATAAAAGCAAAAAGCAAAAAGCAACACCACTTTTATCGTCTTGCCCATTAAGGAAGTTCTTCTACTTAGCTAAGTTCAAAGTCAATTTCACCTTGCACTTGCTATTTGCCATGGCACCAAGTATGACACAGAGGCCCAGACAGTGAAAGACCGATTCAGCCAGGATTTATGCATGCAGCAAAATGAGGAAGGGAATGAGGTGCTTGTCCTGAGAGAGTGGAGTGGAGTGTTCATATCATCCGATATAGCAAGGACCCAGAAGCGCTCTGGTTTGGGGTCGGTATATCACTCCTGATTGAGAGCTTAAGGTACAGTTACAGTTAAAAATGGCAGCTCCTTCCATCTGTCCAGGGCCAGTTCCATCTGGTGCACCAGCTGAGACCCTACCTGCCCACAGACTGTCTCTCCAGAGTGGAGCATGCTCTGATTATCTCCCACTTGGACCACTGCAATGCACTCTTCGCGGGGCTACCTTTGAAGCTGACACATAAACTACAACTAATCCAGAATGCAGCAGCTAGACTGGTGACTGGGAGTGGCCACCAGGACCATATAACAATTCAACGTGTTGGTGCTGACCTTTAAAGCCCTAAATGGCCTCGGCCCAGTATACCTGAAGGAGGGACCACCCTCATTGTTCAGCCCAGAAACTGAGGGCATTCTGGTAGTTCCCTCACTGCAAGAAGTGAAGTTACAGGGAACCAGGCAGAGGGCCTTCTTGTCAATGGAACCCTCTCCATGGAACGCCCTCCCATCAGATGCCAAGGAGATAAAGAACTGCACAACTTTTAGAAGACATCTGAAGGCAGCCCTGTGTCAGGAAGTTCTTAATGTTTGACGTTTTACTATTTTTGTTTTTGTTTTTTTATTAAAGATTTTCTTGGTTTACAAAAGTACAAACCTTGTCTCTTTTTTTCGGGTTGTACAGTCTTTCTTACAAATCAGTTACATCTGTTATGAGACATTAGTGTTTACTACTATGTTTTTATATGTGCTGTAAGCCGCCCAGAGTGGCTGGGCAGGAAACCCAGACAGATGGGTGGGAGCTAAATAATAAAATTATTATTATTATTATTATTGCTGGCACAAATAACGTATAGCATTTGGCTACACTGGGAGACCAAGAGCACCTGATGCACACCCATCCGCATAGGTGCTGGGGTGTGGGGCACCCGGGCACTGAACTCTCAGGAGTCCAGGGTCTGAGAGTTGAGTCTGGGGAAGAGCCCGCCCGTTGGTCGGAGCACCGCAGCAGGTTCTTCTGCTGCGGGCGGCTCTGTGCCACGTGTTCAGGGGTGACTGAGCCAGTGAGATGCTGAGAAGGCTGGCTGGCTCTGCCCTCCTGAGCACCTGGGACTGGGCAACCTGGGGGCGGCGCTGGGCAGATCTTTGCACCCCGGCGCCGCATATGCTTAAGACAGCCCTGCTCATCCGTAACAGCTGTGCCACAGACTGGTTGTGCAATGTGCTATGCTGAAGAACTGTGTGGGGAGACAACCCCAGCCAAATGCTTCCGCTACCCACAGAGCACAGCAAACTGCTCCAAAGAAGGAATGATCTTTTTCAACCAGGAATGTTGCCTTTGACCACACCAGGCAACACAGCACAGTGTTGTCTAGAAGGCCCTCTGTGAAGATGCCATGGCCATCAGCCGCCACTTGATTATTTTTACTAGAGATAGAGATTAAAACGGGTTCCCTTGTGCATGGAAAGCACCTGAGCAGCAGCTTGACACCAGACAACACAGGAAACTGCTTTATACTGACTCAGACCATTGGGCTCAGTGATGTGCACGCTGACAGTGCCTCTCCAGGGTTTCATGCAGGGAGTCTTTCCCAGGATCACCTAGAGGTAGAATCGCAGAGTTGGAAGGAACCATGAGGGTCATCTAGTCCAACCTCCTGCAATGCAGGAATCTTTTTCCCAATGTGGGGCTCAAACTCATGACCCTGAGGTTAAGAGTCACATGCTCTACTGACTGAGCTATCACAGGTGTCAGGGACTGAACCTAAAACTTTATGCATGAGAAGCAGAGGCTCCACCGCTGAGCAATGCTCCTTCCTACAATGGTCAAGGAAGCCGATTTGCTAATTTGCCCCATGCCAAGCTGGACAGGGGAGTTTATAGATGCTGTAGATGATGCAGTAAATACGAGGCATTTTCCCGTTTTGCTGAAGTCTTTAGAAAAAATGGTAACCTTTTACTGGCATAAATAATAAATGTGGCGCATCCCCACCCCGCTTACTTTTCGCCTCCTCGTTATTAAAGCAATAAAGCAATTTCAAAGGTGTGGTTAGCACGAGTTAATAGCATCTCCAGGGGATTCCTGCTACCCTAGGAGATTTCTTAATCTTGTTTTTTTTTTAAAAAAAGGGGGGAGGGGGACAGAAGACACCTTTGTCGTGTCATATGCCATTAGTTAATTTCAGAAAGCATCTACAGGGCTCCCCCTATTCATGTGTTACACGGAGAGCAGGGCAAGTTAAAGAGAGATAAAAAGCCATCATAATCAGGTCAGGAGATGCTTCCAGGAAGAATTTTTCTTTTTCATTTCCTGCAAAAAACACAAATCTGTTTCACTAATACAGTATTGGAAGCAAAGGCTCTTTCAAGGCCACCTCTGAAACGGAGTTTCCTAACACAGTACTGCTTCCCAAAAAAAGGCTCTGATGCAACACACAGATAGCCCAAATGTCTGAACTTGGCATCCTCAGAATCACAGCAAAAAACAAAAAACAAGGACTAATCCTTAGGGCTACAAGTCTTAGGGCTACATTTTAAAAGGAAACCAGCAGGTCTTGGCTGATCTTATGGAAATGCAATCTTTTAATGATCCTGTCACCAAATAAATCCAATTCAAAACCTGACCTCGTGTAGACAATTGCTGCACATGGAAGTTCTACTTTTGACAAACAATTTGCTTTCACTGGAAGGGATGCTCATTTTTTCCCTTTGGTCATATAGTCATAATACATCTAAGGATTCCTTTGTATTCAAATGATATACTGCCTACTTTTTATGCCCTTTATGAATAAATGTGTTGAGGGCTGGGTGTGTGTGTGTGTGTGTGTGTGTGTGTGTGTATGCATTTGTATGCATGTATGCAAACACGCTTCAGGGGGGAGGTGCCAAACTGGGTGTTTGACCCGGGTGACAGATAGCCTAATTTCGGCTCTGACAACCCAGCTCACGACCACCACCACCACCTTTCCCTTTTTACTCCCCTCTTCCTCCAAGCAGCAATAACCCACATGGAAAGAAGCCAACAAGGGCTGTATGTCTGTGTGGCCCCTGGGTTTGAGATCCCCCAGCTCTGCTTTACAGCGACAAGGCAGCAACAAAGGGTTTCTTGCGCTGCTGCAGCTTAATCCTGCAGGATTGGGGCGGCAGGCAACAAGCGGCTCTCCTCCGCCTGATGGAGCGGCAAAGAGACACGGCACATCATTTACAGGGAAAGGAAGGTGACTTTGAGGCAGTCGTCAGCTTGCCTGGGAGTGTCATTGAAGGAGATTCTTAAATTTGTCTTGACAGAGGATCCGGCTGTATGGACAAGTTCGCTGCCTGCCACAAATAATAACAGGGGAACTTGTCCGTTCCAAACCACCCCCAATCGTACTCTCACAGTTTCCCCACTGCCCCTTCCTGACAATGTCTGTCATTCCGGCATGCCATCACTGGGAATTAATGTCGGCCTGGGGTGGCGAAGCAGGGAGCCATGGAGCACATCAAAACACACGCCGACATTAGACTCCAACAGGCCTTCATTTAAGGTAATTATGTACCAAAGAGACTCTACCTTATCGCTGATCTCTTGTTTGTTTTGTTATCGCAACAGGCCTCCCAGATTCCTCAACTAATACCTTTCTCCCCCTAACAAAAGACTGATGGATAGGGAGGAAACACCCCCCCACACCCCCCGGTAATCCACAAACATGTGGGGAATGGGACTATATGCAGATGGAGAGACCCCTGCATATTTTGGGTTGATGCCTAATCCTCACTGGTATACCTTCGATGCACTAAAGAATGCCAGTAGGAGGCTAAAGTGATAAAATGGGAGGAAAGCAGGATTCTGCCTTCTAAAGAACAAGATAATTGGCCAGTTTGGCTTCGCATTGTCAACACTGATTGGCAGCAGCTCTCCAGCATTTCAGAAATGGGTCGTCGTGTCCCTGCCCCCTGCAGCTTACCTGGATATTTATTTTTTTATTTTATTAAATTACTACACTACCCTTCATCCGAGGATTGCAGGGTGGCATACAATATAAAACACACAAAAATACACAGCATAGAAACAAAACAGCAACACACACACACAGTATTACTTCTTCATTAAAGTGGATGGAGAGTGGTATAGCAATTCTATTATTATTATTATTATCATCATCAACATCAACAACAACAACAACTGGGACATTCTGCATGCAAAGCAGATGCTCTAACTGGGACATTCTGCATGCAAAGCAGATGCTCTACCACTGAGCTACTACAGCTCTTCTCCTAACAAGAAGCTCCTTTCTACCAAGCCAAACCATAAAGCCTTGTATTGTCTACGCTGAGCTACAGCCCTCATTCAAATCTTCCTCTATTTTAAAAATGCAGTATGCTCTCACATGCTGAAGCGCTTCCTATGCAGAAAATTTGTGTACACCTTAGAATTTAATTTGGGGGGCGCTCAGGGCAAATGACTATGCTTAAATGACTTGCAGCATCCACTGCAAGTACAAAACGCCTTTCCCTATTGTTATTTTAAAAGCAGCATTTGGGCAACAAGGGGTAGAGTCAGGAGGCTGATGAAATGTGCAGATTATACTAAAAGGGGAGAAGATTAACACCTTGGCAACTAAGGAAGCTATACATTAGGACAGAAATGAAATTCAAGTTGCAATAGAATGGCAAAAACTACATCTCTGAGGGGGGAGAGGAAGAATAATCTACAATCCAGATGTTCGCTAAGCAGATGAAACCTGGAAACGCTAAAGAAGAGTCTGGAGGTGAAAACAAAAACAAGCTGCACTTGTGAGCAGAGAGATAAAGCTAGTTTACTGCGGAGGGGCGGGGGGGGACCCCACCATGCAGTCAGCTTGGTAAGAATCTTGTTTTCAGTCAAAAGAAAGGTTTTCAACAGCAACAAGAAAGTTGTAATACCTCATTTCAGAAAAAAAGGATATCAGTCAGACCCAGAAACCATTTATACTGATTTTAATGTGTTTTTGCATTGCTGTGACCCATTCTGGGACCTTGTGGAGAAGGGCAAAATAGATAGATGATAGATGACAGACAGATAGATAGATAGATAGATAGATAGATAGATAGATAGATAGATGATAGAGATGATAGATGATAGATAGATAGATAGATAGATAGATAGATAGATAGATAGATGATAGATAGATAGATGTCCTAGGAATTTCAGGTTTCACTTTAATAAAAACCAGTTTCTCTCCTCTACAGTGACGGGAGACTCAAAGTGTGTGGACAACCTAAACTCCATAAATTAAGAACAGGCTTTTTTAATTTTTAAAACCAGAATACTTCCCCAACACTTAACTCTGACCCTGTACACCCTCCTGTGCCAAAAACCTCCAAAAGAAAGAAGCCTCATAAGCATTTAGAGCAAAAGATTCTGCTGGATCAGGCCCTAGGCCCAACTAAGTCCATCATCCTGTTCTCAAAATAGTCAACCCACGAGGAGCCCACACGCAGGCAGTGACGCAGCCCTTGCAAGCCCCTACAACTGGCATTCAGAGGCACGGCTGCCTCAAACGCAGAGAAGAACATAGCCTTATCCTCCTCCTTTGCAGTGCAAAGGCTGTTCTAGCCATCCCAGGTGGTCCTGCCAAGTTGGGAAAGCCCTTTCCATCACCTGCTGTACCGCAAGCACCAACCTTGACAAAATGGTGCGCTAGACAGCCACCAACAGCCCTATTGAGGGTCTTCCTTAAGTTGCTACACGACTCTAACAGCTCCACATCAGCCCAAGCAGACATTGCCGGCCCCTTTGTGTGCATCTCCAATGCACCAGGCTCCATTTTATTTTTGCAGCTTGCCATTAATGCATGTCAGTCCAGTTGTCAGTCTGGAGGCTCAAGCTTTATTTTGCAGACAATCGGGGTAAAATCCAATTTGAAAAGAAAGGCAAAAGCTGTAGTTGTTAGAGAGGTGTGATAATGAAAGCCGTTGTGGCTTCCTCCCCCCCTTTTCCACATTTTATCTGTAAAACAGCCTGAGGGCTTACAAAGAGTTTACAAGAGCCCGGGAGGGGGACGGCTGGAGATAACAGTGGCAGGCACAAAGCAGCTAAACTGAAATCTCTAAGTTATCTGCCTGTGCCAAATTTTCAGACAGAGAAAAGGGGGGGGGGGAGAGAAATAGAAATGCTGTTCCTAAAGACCAACATTGCCATCTAGTGTCAAAGCACTACAGTCAGCCTTCGCTCAGCTTTGTAATCTGAGGTTATCATTAGACTGTCACCTTGTGACAGTTAAATTCCATCAGCCCCAGTCAGCACCCATGGCAGAATAGATACAATGGTACCTCGGGTTAGGTAAAGGTAAAGGGACCCCTGACCATTAGGTCCAGTCGCGGACGACTCTGGGGTTGCGGCGCTCATCTCACTTTATTGGCCGAGGGAGCCAGCGTACAGCTTCCAAGTCATGTGGCCAGCATGACTAAGCGGCATCTGGCGAACCAGAGCCGCACACGGAAACGCCGTTTACCTTCCCGCGGGAGCGGGACCTATTTATCTACTTGCACTTTGACGTGCTTTCGAACTGCTAGGTTGGCAGGAGCAGGGACCGAGCAACGGGAGCTCACCCCATCACGGGGATTCGAACCGCCGACCTTCTGATTGGCAAGTCCTAGGCTCTGTATAAACTTCATCATACCCTCCAACATTTCTCCAATGAAAATAGTGAAGTCATATTCAATAACAACAACAACAATTTTGACTGGGTAGCTTCCAACATATATAAAACTATCATTAAACACTGAAAAACTTCCCTATACAGGACTGTCTTCAGGTGTCTTCTAAAAGTTGTATAGTTACTTATCTACTTGACTCAGGGGTAACCCCATAACGGTAAAGGTAAAGGACCCCTGACAATTAAGTCCAGCCGCGAACAACTCTGGGCTTATGGCGCTCATCTCTCCATATCTCCATACCCTCCAACAATTCTCCAATGAAAATAGCGACACCCCAAGGACAGAAGGAAGGCTTCTTTAAATCTGGGATGGTCCCTGGAAAATAAGGAGACTTGGAGGGTCTGCTGGTGCTTGGGGGTGGAGGTGTGGTCCCAGACCCATCCACTCTGAATGGAGTCTTACGCCTGAGTGAATAATAGATGTTATGTCAACTGGAGGGAGAAAGACTGTTTCCCCAAAAGTATGTGCTCACTAACGGCCACAAGAACACCATACATCTAAAACACCTGGTTTCCCCAAAGGATTCTGGGACCTATAATTTATAGAGCTACAATTCCCACCACACTTGACACACTGCAGTTCTTGGGGTTCTTTGGGGCGGGGGAAAGCAATGTGCTTTAAATGTGGATGTGAATCCGGATATTCTTCAGAAGTTCTCTGAATCCCCTCACCTTTCATGGTGAAGTAGCTGGCTTCCAAGGGCCTTTTTCTGCAGCGGCATCTGAATTAAAGATGTAATTGACAATACCAGTTGTTATTGACTCACTGACTGATGTGATGGACATGTTTGCCCTATTTCAGTAGCAGTTGGTGACCAACAGGCATAACAAGGCAGAAAGTTGGTGGCGCAAAGGAGATTATGGGGGGGGGGTTTACTTCTTGGAAACGTTCTCAAGTCCATATAAGAGCTATGACATTAGATGGTGCCATTGATGGTATTTCCACCACTTGGGAATAAGCTGTTTGCTATGTCAAATAGCCCTTCCTAAACTTTCTCTGCTCAATAGCTACTAATTATTCTATCCTTTTCCTTCCCAACACTACTGGTACCTTTAAAAAAAAACAACACACAACAGGAATACTAAAAAAAACTAAAACACCAGGCAATAAAAAGTCGCTTATAAAAGTTGTATGTTGCTTGAAGTAACAGAGTTAACGGATAAGCAGAAAATCCGAACAACATTAGTTCACTGGACAAGTTCAATAAAATCCAGCACTAACGACGTCTAGCCCATTCCAGACTGCTTTAGCATAGAAAAATCTATATGAAAGGCCAGAAAACAACCTAACAGCTGCCCCTAAGGCATCTACAATATAATAAAATACTAAGGCTGCAATCCTAACTCCACTTAACCAGGGAGTAAGCCTTACTGAAGTCAATAGGGTTTACTTCTAATAGACATAGTTAGCATTGTGCTGTGGTGCTACGATCCTACAGACACTTACTTTGGAGTAAGTCCCACTGAATCCAGCAGGACACAAATGCAGGTGTAGCAGTCTTGCTCTTGCTTTGCAATTCCTTAATTTGCTCTGGGTGCTGTTCAGCTTTCCTAAACCCTGTTCTATGTATGAGTCAAAATTCATTCCTGAATTTATTATGCTTCTATGAAAAGCACAGTTGCCCTTTCCCAAAGTTAGTTTTTAAAACCTTACACCACAAAAGAGAAAAAGAGCTCAATTAAGCAAGTACAGTCAAATATTAACAGGGCAGCCTCCACACAAGCTAAATTAGTAGAAACAACATTACACCTGCTCTTCCCACCCCCCAAAAAACAGCTTTAAAAATTTTCCCCCACGTCCCTCTAGCCATACCGTAGTATACCACCATTCCTATAGAGCTCTATTTACATATTACACACAAACACACATATATATTAGAAGTAATAAACACCAGAAACTCACAGAGCTGAAGTTAGTATCATGCTTCTTTCGCCTGCTGTTTGCAAAAGGAGGTAAAAACCAGCACAGCCTCAAAGAACAGGTGGCAAATTCATGCATCTGATTGGTTGGGGAGGACGGTCATAATCCCAACCAAACCTTCTAGCACCTTCAATGAGTTGCTGAGGTACTCCTGACTGACTAACCAAGGGAGAAAAGCTAAAGGGGGAATTAAAATGGAGGCACATTCCTGCTAGAAGGGTTTTTAATTTGCTATTTAACATAGCAGGTTTGGTGACTTTTTTTTAACCCTGGAAACAGGGGTGGGAACTTAGTGATGATTGCAATTGGCTGTGCTGTCCTGAAATCATTGGCCAGCATAGGAGATGGACAGAAATAACTCCCAGCTAGACTGGTAAAGAAAAAGTTGTTATGTGTGATATAACATTGTGCCACCAGTTGGCGACGTGGAGTCCCATTTTTCTCTACCTGTTTTCCCTGTTTAAATTTACAACTCTTACTGAAACGCTTCTTTGATGTGTCTAGATGCAGCCTAAATGAGATATAAAACACATTGTATATGACCAGAGACTGGGCTATAGCTTTGTGGGATTCAAGGTTTAGAAAGATTACTGAGTTTTGGTGTTCTTCTGTGTTGTGCTGTACACTTATTTTATTCTTATTTATTATT